AAAATGTCCGTGACCTTCGCTCAACGCGGCAGGCCACCTCCAAATCCTGCCCAGATACAGAAGGTAAAGAAGTAACTGTAGTTTCGAAAAAAAAGAAATACAATTATTACATGACTGAAAATGTTTAGAATTCTGAAAATCACAACTATGTAGATATATATGGATTTGCTATATTTTTTTAGATGCTTGATGAAAACAGCCAACTTATACAAATGATTCAGGAGTATCAGAATAAGGGCAAGGCACAGGAATGTGTACAGTAAGTATCAACTATCTATATGTTTCTTAGAATTATTGTGTATTTTATTCAAGATTTTGATTGAAAATTTTTGTTTTATGAAAATATTCAATAAGATATTTATTTGATAAGAATTCAACATTTCTATTGTTATTAAAGTGACAATCTTATCAAAAAAAGTTATTTTCTTAATAGATATTGGTAATTTTTATTAAAAACCAATTATATTAAAATTGTTAAATTTATCTTTCAGATACCAACAAATATTACATCGCAATTTGGTATATTTGGCATCTATTGCTGATGTAAATCAGAATCTTCAAAATTTATTACCTGTAAGTAGATTTTATAAAATAGAGAACATAGAACATATTAAAAGACAAATAAAGTTATTGAGCTAAAAAATTTAATTACTATTGACTATTGACTTATCTTTCTGTTTTAAGCTACCTCAAGGTATTCCCAATGGTCCTCAGCATGGGATGATGAACCCACAAGGGCTTCCAAGTGGTCCAGCAGGACCTGGTGCAGCTGGTCCTGGTGGAGAAATGCCACCAAATACACAGCCAACAATGCCAATGTCAACATTTAATCAAGGCCAACCAATGGCGCAAGGCTATCGTGGACCTGTAATGCCTGGTCAAGGACCTGCCATAAATAGTATGTTACAATCTAATTGAAATTATAAATAATAATTAATAAAAACTATCATATTTAGTTTAAATTTATATCAAGATATAATCATCATGTATTCATCTAATTTGAAATATAATTGTAACGCTTCTAACTTTAGAAATTATTTTTTTATTTATTATCTAATATTTTGATGTTTTATAGGGCCTCCAGCCGCACCAGGTCCGCAACAATATAGAGGTCCACAAGGCTATCCTCAGCAACCTACTCAACAAGGTTATCCTGCTCAATATACTGGGCAAAACCCTGGTTCAAACTATCAAGGACCGCAAGGATCCGCATATACGCCTGGTCAACCAAATCAATATGGACCACCAAACACTTCTCAACAACAAGGATATAATGCAGCAACACAACCAAATTATGGTCCTCCAACAACAGTGAATAGTTATGGTCCACAATCAGGTGGTTATCCACCACCGGGCACAACTCAGCCACCTTCCGGATATGGACCACCTCCACCAAATCAGCAAGGCTATCCGCCTTCAAATGCTTCACAACAAAATTTCTCATCAGGTAGTCAACAACAACAACCAGGACAATACGGCAGTCCTAGTCCACAACCAAATTATCAGCAGCCTCCGTCCCAAGCGCCACCTCAAAATGCATACGTCGCTGGACAACCCGGAAGTTACCCTCCTCCCTCCTCGCAAGCATATGCGAATAATGTTCCACCACAAAATTACCCACCACCTCCAACAACTAGCGCGACTCAACCTCCGCAACCTGGGTCTCAACAAAACACGGGACCGCAGCCCAATTATGTTAGTCAACCAAGCCCAGGTCCTGGCGCGACACAATACGGTCCTGCTTCTACATCTCCACCATTTAGCACTTCCTCCGCGAGCGGGGGTAATACTTACGCCCAGAGTCAACCGACAAGCACGCCGTCTGCCTCGACGCAGACGTATCCGCCGAATAGTGGTCCGCCACCGACGTCGCAGGGTGGAAGTTACGTATCCCCAGTACCGTCGGCCCCCTCTGGATATCCTGTTCATCAAGCACCACATCCGACATCACATCCCCCACACCCACCACCGCATCAATCACCTCATCAGCCACCACACACCGCGCATCAGCCACCACATCAACCGACTCATCAGTCGTCCCATCAACCACCTTCACATCAATCACCACATCAGCCACCACAACAATCTCAGCAACAGTCACAAACAGCTCCGCAGACACAACAGCAACCATCTCAGAGTCCAGCACCGAGTGGATTTCAACCGCCATCTGGTCCACCGCAAGGTCCTGCTCCACCACCAGGTCCTCAACAACCAACCTATGGACCTACTACTACACAAACATATGTTCCACCGACACCAGGAGGACAACCACAGGTATGGTTTAAATATGCTATATTTAATTACATTGACATAGATGATCAGCTTTTGGATCTGTTTTATGACAATTGTTTGTTATATAACTTCTTTATTTTATTTACAATTTTGTAGAAAGAATAAAACAACTATTTTTGTTCTTTATACAAAATAATTTGAAATCTTATATCATGTAAAAGATCACATAATATAGGTACATGAATTTATTATTGATATATTGAGAATTGAGAGCATCCTGATTATAGATTTATAGTCCTCATCCGCCACAAGGAGGACAACATTATGGGCATCCACAGTATCCTCCTCAAAGTTATCCTCCACCACCAGCAGGACAAGGATATCCACAGTATCCACCACGACCACCTGGTGGACATATGCCTCCTCCACCTGGACCACAAGGACCTCCTCCTCCTAATCAATATGGAGGTTATGGTTATCAACCACCTACACAATAAAATACATCAATAATTTTTAAATTTACATAAAGCTGGATTAATACGTATATTGAGTTTATTTTTGTTTACGTTTTTATTAATTTTGTGCGAGGACATTAACATACTTTCTTAATGTAAATTCACAATATTTATCTATAGATATTGTGAATATGCATATTAACAATATCTAAATATA